ATATATATATATATATATTATGGATATAACAAATATTAGTGTAATACACATGATATTATAATTAAGATTAGGTCCATAAGGTCTAAATTAATTGTTTAACTTTTTTATTTTAAACAAATACTCTATATATAACTGATTGACATTTTCTCATTAAATAAAGCTTATTTTGATATTTTTGGTTTTCAATAAAATATTAAAACTTTTAGTCTAGTTTCCTCCCTCCCCCTAAAATATTTCACTAATTAAGTTGTTTTTAATCTATCTAAAAAAAAATAAACATCAATCAATTTGAAAAAGAGGTAGTACATATTAGCAAAAGTAATCCTAATTTATGTTGAACATATTTCAAGTGACCTATATATTCTCTTGCCAGCTGTCTTGTATATTGAAATCAAATAGCAAATACACATAACTAGCTACTATATGTTCCACAACCACACCGCCCCTCCCAAAAAAAATAGCTACTATGAGAATAATGTTGGGGAGTCTTTTAACATCGGGGGAGCATTTCACACAATGGGTAGTGAGTAAGTCATACAAGTGAGTTTGACACACAACATAACCTAAAACCTTAAGGCATTAGGTAAGTGGGTCTTTCTCATTTATATATTACTCAACATGCCCAACTATAACCAATGTGGGACTTTGCTTCACACTTGAATTCCAACACTCCCCCTCAAGTGTGAATCCCTTCCACATGGTCACGCTCTCCCTCAAGCAGAATTTTTTTTCTTTCGTCCACGAGTATTCAATGGTGGCCTTACTTGTACTATTGTTGCACTTCAACGACACACGTCCTCCACATCTCTAGGGAGACTTTCAGTACAAGGGATGATCCTATTCTTGGATCTCCTGCCAATTCCATTTAGGATCCCACTCTTGGATCTAGCCAATACTCGTTTGAGTCGATCACCAGTCACTTGGTCGAACCATCGGCTCTGATACTAATGTTGGGGAGTCTTTTAACATCGGGGGAGCATTTCACACAATGGGTAGTGAGTAAGTCATACAAGTGAGCTTGACACCACAACATAACCTAAAACCTTAAGACATTAGGTACATGGGTCTTTCTCACTTATATATTACTCAACATGCCCAACTTTAACTAATGTGAGACTTTGCTTCACACTTGAATTCCAACAATTAATGGTCACAATGCAAGGTTCATATTCATACTCAAGTCTTGCTTTGGTAACTCATATTGATAAGGTTATCATCTTTCGTTCCTTTCTCGCATTTTATTTATTCTCAAGATGGACATGGTAGACATCTACAACCCATGGATATTAGACCAGTCACAAAAACAACCTACCCAAGGAAGTCAAGTACTGTATGATATCTTGTATTTACCATGCTACTTTTAAGGCACATTGTATTTATGCGCTTGTCACAAAATAACTAACTCTTCACCTCAAATTCTAAATATGAACTAATTCTAATCAACGAATTTACACATTAGAAAAATACCTTTTATAGAAAGCTTGTCAATACATATCTGTTCCTTGCTTAAATTTAATTGTACGTTTTTTTGTTTTCCTTCTAAATTCTAAGGATGTACATTTAAGTATCACATGCTGACATATTCTATATATCGATTATGTATCAGGTGATAGTATACAAGAAGATGTAAACTTGACTAACTAATCAAAACAAATGATTTAGGATTTAGTTCAAGTAAAACAATGTTAATCGCTAATAATATATGATGATGTTGAACTCTCTCACTGGATATGTCCCAGTCCCAACGTGCACATAGAAACAGATAATATTAATAGAGAATTAGAGATAGAGACTCTATTATACTGGTTGTGTCCAATAACAACGACCCTTGTTTGTGAATCATTATCTACGTAAGAGGGGAGTGAGAGTTTCTCTATCTTAAGTTTTAAAACAAAAGACATGGAGTTTACGACAGACATGTCTTCCCCAAAATCCATGCTCTCAAAAATTGAAAAGTTTTGAAGTTAGTCAACAAAGACAAAACCATTGGGTTCAAATGCACGCGTACAGGTAACTTCTACATGCATGATCACTGACTCAGAACTCAGAAGAGAGAAATTAAATGAAACCAAAGATTTGCGAGTCCCAACGAAAACGGAAAAATGGAAAAAAAGAAATAGACATGTATATATATTATTCGTTACAGCCAATATAGTTGGTTTAATTTAACAATAGTGCATATATGTATTCTAAAGTCACATGACAACATACCATACCAGCTAATTCCTTAAAGGAAGAAACTCAAAAAACTGGTTGGAGGTGATTTCAGTGTCCATAGAGGCACTTGCACAGAACATAGATTTCCTCTCAGCAATACAAATGCCATCTTGGTCATCCCTCTTAAGTGGAAATAGGTCCAGGGTCCGAGGATCTGCATTTTCTCCATCACAATAGCTTAAATTTTCTCTGTTGAGTACATATGGTAAATTATTATAATTTTGAGGGGTTAAAATTTTTGTGTTATGTGTTCTGTGTGCTGCTACTGTAGTTGTGGGAGCTGCCATAGTAACAAGGGGAGGGACACAAGGCATTTGCATTTCCATATCTTGCCACTTAGCTTGCCTTTCTGATAAGTTTTTCCTCAAAACTTGCATGCCTCTCTCATCAACTTGAGTCCACCCATTTGATCCCTTTTCTGCTATGTCCAGTGCAGCAGATTCCTGTAAAATAAGTACGGATAGTAAAAGTTGGCAGTAAAAACAATTTAAAATAAAAAAGAGAGAGAAGAATGATAGAGCAAGAGAAAAAAAAATGAGGGGGTGGGGTGGGGGGGTGAGAATTCTGAATTCTGAATTCACATTCAATTCACAACAAGTCCAAGAAAGTCTGAACTGATCTAGCACAAAACAGCCCCAACAGAAAGTTCAAAAAAGCTGCTTTTGAAACCTCTCTTTTTTTCCAACACCCAAAAGCTCTTGTTTTCTTTCATTTCTTTCTTGTTTCCTCAATACCGAGTAAAAAAAATATTTTTGGCTTTATCTTTTATTTGATCCTGTAATTAAATAATTAGACCCTATTATTGGGCTCCTATAATCTTTTGGGTATCTTTGGTTAACAAAGCTGAATAAAATGTTGTAGCAGTACCGTGAACAAAGCCAAGAGTAATTACAGACCTCTGCATGTCCACTGCAGTTTGAAGTGGATGCCCACTTCTTTGTCTCTTTAACTCCACAACCTGTCTCTTTCAACCCTGTGGCCAAAATCCAAACACCCCCAAAATTCAACGTCAAATCTTGCATCCTAAAAATCATAAGAAACCACACACACACCCTCTCTCTCTTCGTTGTAATCATCAGTGCAAGAGTGATGTATAATATAGGAATCTTTTGACCACTAAAAGAACCTTGAATAGCACCAAAGTCCCCAAAAACGTTATGCTATTAGCACATGATAATATCTAGCTGTATATGTACCTGCTGCCTCTATCTTATTGCCTTTTCTGATTTTCCTATAACGTACTACTTTACTATACCCTTTCTTTCTTTCTTTCTTACCTTCACTAGATGAAGCTGCAGCGTTTTCCTCCATCTCCCTGCGACGCCTCTTCTGTCTCTCCCTCGCCTTGTGATTCTGGAACCAGTAGAACACGTTCTTCCCTTCGATCTTCCCAAACTGGCGCAACTGTGAAGCTATTTGTTGAATTTGTTCAGCCGATGGTGTTTTTGTTCCTTGCCTATACAATTCCTCAAGGACTAGTAACTGAACTGGTGTTGGACTCCACCTGGTGCTTTGCTGAGACTGCACATGGGACCCTGTGTTATTTGTCCCTTCCTCTGCTACATGACCTGCACAATAAGACACATGAAAATTAGTTAACCTAAGTGTAAATTCACCCTTCACACTATCACCAAGTTTCTTACCATAACCAAATCACATGTTAAAAAACATTACAAGGCTATACTATGAGTATGACAAGTTAAAGAACTAGCACATGCTTGGATAATCATTGCACTCATTCAGGAGTCAGAATAAAAGATTATTTAGAAGGGCTATCCAAACATGCCCTTAATTAATATCTAGCTTAGGCTTACCAACATGTTGGTTGAAGGTGAGGATGTGGTTACAGTGGGTGCAAATACAATAAGGTTGTGCTATTGAGCAGAAGGTGGCGATTTTGGGGGCTGCATGAGAATTGTGGGTGGAGTTTGGAGTGGAAGAGGGAAAGGTACTAGCGAATGAATCAGACATGTTGAGGTTGAGAATCAGATGATGTCTAAAACTATAAGGTTTTTGTCATAATATTGCTATATTGGCTAGTGGCTACTAAGGTTTTCTGCCTTTTGTGGTTTGAAAATAGGGTTTTTGTGTGAGAAAGATGTAATGAATGATGGGATGAAGTTAAGGGAGGAATAGTGTATTTATAGGGAGAGGGAACGTTGTAGTAAAAGCTTTAGGTGGAGCAGCAACCAACAAAAGAGTTGACCAATATTGTATAATAGTATACAATAGTAATAATACATAAACTAAGTTATGTATTCAAATTATGAGAGGAGAGAGAGAGAGAGAGGTGGAAAATGGGAATGAACTGGAATGTGTAGAATTCTGAAAGATTTGGAGAGTGAAGGTGTGTGTGTTTCTGAAAAAGGACACAGCATGATAATGATGATGATGTCGTGTGTTATTAAAGTTGCCTCTTCCCCATGTCTCTTTCTTCCTACACAACACGCTCACATGGTTATATATTTTTTTTTCTTCCCTTCACAGTGCTTGGTGCCTTTCACTCTTCCTTTCTCCGATCATTCAAAAGAAAAATTTCTCATCCTCTCCATTTGAGACACACAACCTACAAGTACATACACAAAGGAAGCCTGTTTCGTATGGGCACTTCTTTGCTTTGTCTTGTACCTGACAGTTGACACTGTATATGTACACACTACACTTTTGGACAATCACAACTTTCACACCCACTATTGGGAAAAAAGAATTATCTAAATGTTGCTAAACAATAACCAACTCCAACCATTTTGTGATCTAAGATGTGATGTTTTTACAAAGGTTCAAATTAAACAGTGACCAAAACATCTAAATTAAGATCTTACGTGGCCCAACACGCATTCCAAATATTTCAATTCCTCTCCCTACACTAACAATTTTGAGTTAACAAAGCTAATATAAGTATTGAGTTAAATTTAAATTTACTTTCATAACATGATATCAGAATTTATATATAATATTATATTCATGTCATCAGGAGATGTGAGATCTCAAACAAGTTATATTTGGAGAAACGAATATTTATGAGACTAGGGATAAGATAGTCTCTAAAGGCAAAATGTTGAGTGAAGGCTATTTTAGTCATTCGGTCTGATATGTATAACTGTAGCTTGTCTCGGTTTTCCTAGTTTTCTGAATTTAACTGATCTTTGAGTTAGAAATTTTTGCATTAAGTTTACAATCGAGAGAGCCAGAGCAAATTTCTGAATTTAACTAAACAAATAGAAGTAGAGCAAATTTATTGTGAACAAACAGGTCTGCTTATTTAATTTCAGCCAAAATGTTTTACTTTTACGTAACTCGGTATATTTTGGACGACTCCTAAAATAAAGTTATGATTTCTTGACAGCAACTACATAATAAATCAATCTGTTGAAATTTTTTATGGCTTTCCAGTACAGTTAGATGATACTTGAAATAACAGAACTTAAAAAGTTAAAATCGATGTCACAATTTTTGTTACCTGACGTGATCATATGTAGCCTTTTTCATCTTTTGATCAACCTCATCTCGACTGCAACAGGTGTTTGGGAATAAGAGGCTTCTAATAATTTGCTTTTGTATATATAAAAGTTTAGAGTAGCTAGGGAAATACTTATCCGATCCCCGAGCGTATAGTTAGGAAAAAAAAACACCAATTTCGATGTGAATTTACAATAAAAGTAGTAGCTTGTCCTTAATTAAAACTTGAATACTTGACACATTCTCAAATTTTCTTCGATTTTCTTTATTTATATAATGTACCGTCTCGGTATGTTTCCGATACGGTCAAGGGAGGAGTCGGAATACGGCCGACCTGGTTCTGGCCCATGCGTAGGAGCAATCAGAATTTAACCTGATACCCCCCAAACGATGGTGATCTCGGTAAAAGTCCGATCCCATATCGGTCACGCTGGTGAACTCGGCCTGGTTGGTGGATGGACTCGGCCTGGTTGGTATCGGCCAGGATGGACTCGGCCTGGTTGGTATCGGCCAGGATGGACTTGGCTTGGTTGGTATCGGCCAGTATGCAGTATCCGAAAAAGCCTCACCTTTCACGTTGATCCGAGAATTAAGGATAGAAATCTTACTTCTAATAATCAAATGTTCTCTATGAAAACAGTTAAGGAAATCCCTTCATTCTCGGGGCCCATGAGGCCCGCAAACAAGAAAATATAAAACCTAAAACCCTAGAGTTAAGACGGCAGATTACACTTTTGAATGCTCTAACTTTGAGGCTTGATCTAGGAAGAAACCTTAGTCCAACCTTTGGCTGGAACATTTTGGCGCCCACCGTGGGGCTACGGTAAAACTTTTCCTGCGCCCCAAATCATATAGAAGAACCTGCACTTTACCATGGCGAGAGGCGACACATCGAACAACAACCCACAACACCCTACCATGGAGGAGATGATGGCATTGATCAATGGCTTGAGAGAGGAGAATGCACGATCCAGAGAAAGGGAGGAGGCCATCCAGCGAGAAAACGAGGAGATCAGGAGGCGAGCAGATGAGATGCAGGCTATGATAACGGCCAATACCCGAACGGCGGAGGAAGATGTCATGATGGAAGTTCCTAGGGATTTTCAACCTTTCTCGGAGGCTATAGAGACCGAGATCATCCCGAGGGATCATCGGGTCCCCCAGGTGGAACCTTTTGACGGAACCCAGGATCCTAGTCAACACTTGACGAATTTCTGAGCACAAATGCTGATTTGTGGTGGGAGCATGGAAATTCACTGCAAGCTGTTCATGGGCACGCTCAAAAAAGCAGCCCTTGATTGGTTTAGTGGTCTTCCTGACCGATCAATCACCGACTTCGACGTCTTTAGTCGGCTTTTCATGGCGCAGTTCGCAGCCAACAAAAAGAAATCGCCGAACACGTCAGACTTGTTTGATCTCAAACAGCAGCGCGAGGAGTTGTTGAAAGATTTTTTGCAAAGGTTCAACGAGGTTGCTTTGAGGATAGCGTCTTTGGATGAAAGGATGGCGTCATTGCGTTTCAAAAGGGGTTAAGGTCTGGTGCTTTCGACATCGCGCTAGAGAGAGCAAATTTCCAAACGATGTCGGAGGTGAGGGCTTTCACCCTAAGTTACATCAAGACTAACCAATAATTCCCATTTTATTCCTTATAAAAATGTGAAAGACTAACCAATAAT